ATAAATCATTTAGTAAAAATAATGAAAAAAAAACTAAAAATAATATTTAAACATACAAAAATGCAAACTATAATTGCCAACATTTCTTTAAGAAATAAACAAATGAAACAAATCACGAAAATATATGGGCGTATTAATGGACTTGAGTTAAGTATCAGGGTTTCTTCAAGTTTTATGAAGGTAAATTTAAGAGTTTTTAAGACCTTTTTTTAAAGACCCAATTAAAGAAAAACTTTAGAAAAAAAATGAAGGGAGCGTGTTCTCTAAATGTAAGTGTCTAATGCCGAGTTCACACTGCACGATTTTCAAACTCGTCGGATCGCCGTTGTTTTCACACTGCGTGACTATCTGGGGTAGCATTCAGTTGCTGCTGTGTTCACATTGCGCGATGGATCGGCGACAGGGGGTTTCACACTGCATATTGGCGACGCATTGGCGATTCTCTCAGATCGTGTCTTTGATAATTCACACTGCGTGCTTGTCACTCGCGTGAACGAGCACCGATTTGCCTCCGATTTCGGGCATTTGTCGGCGATTTCGCAAAACCTGTCTGCGAGTGAAAAATCGGGCTAAAATCGTGCAGCGTGAACTCGGCATAAGGAGAACACAATGAGCTGTGATAGCACTTTAAAGTTGGAAAATACAACTTCCAACTGTTCTTCAATACTTTTCATTTTATCCAACAAAAAAAAAACTAAAATGGAAATAACTTTTGCTGTACCTGATAAGTTTTACTGTATTCTGATCACACTGCACAAAAGTGATGTTCTTCCGCAGTATTTTTGTCTTGTTTTCCAGTGCAAATGTCTAAAAGATTCTTAACATAGATGCAAAAAATAGCATGTCTTGTTTTCTGAGAAATGTACAAAAAAAAGAAGTGAATTTATGATTAAAAAGGAGACAAATATCTGTCAGTGGGCTCAGAAAAATAAACTTCATTCAAAGCAAAAACAAGTTGATTCCCCAAACAAGACTTCATAAGTAAATTTAAGGACGTTTAGATATTTGTATCAATTATTCAGTTACTTTTATTATACTTTTTTGCAGCACATGAAGCATTTAACCCCCTGCCTTTATGAATGTAAGACTTTCTGCTCCGAATTAAAACCTTTTAAGGCTTTAATTTGTGAAAGGTAAAATTAAGACTTAAGAGTTTTTAAGACCACCAGAAACCCTGAATATATGCGCACGTATTAAATGTAACTTGAACCGCATACATAATCAAGAACATTCAAGCATAAACATAACAAAAACTGCATGCTTAAACATTAGAGGAATGATTAAATATAATTAAAATCAAGTTTGCTCGTCTATTTGGACGACTGCAGACATGCTTTCTTTTCAGTTTGAACAGTTCAATCAATAAGATGGACTTTTGAGTGGACAAATAATTCATCACATAATTTAATGGGTGCAAAGAAAAAAAAAAGAACCAACAAGAAAAGAAACTCAATCATCAGAAAGTGCAGGAGTTCTTCAGCTCTGCTAGAGCCGCTTTTCTAGATTACATCTGCGTTTTCTTAGACAGCGCTTCTGCTTCCTGTGAAGAAACACACAGAAAGCCATCGAATCAGTTCAAATCTGCAGTGAGAAGCTGTTCAGTACAGCAGAAGAAGGACTAGAGCATGTGTGTGCAACATCAGACGGGACTTTAGCACTACATTCTTAGAGTAGACACACACACGGGACACGTGCGCTGCGAATAAAGGAGCCTTTATGTCCCTCAGACACCTACCTTTGAGCCTGGAGGCGCCGTCAAGCCCAGAAACGCATACACTGCATTGTCCTCACGGGCACAGAAGAACGCCTCGTAATTCTGGAGCACAGAAGCAAAAGAAAGCACTGCTCAAATCATACGGTCTGGCTTCGAGTCGGTTTGAATCAGTCAAAACACCAGACGCCAGTTAAAATGATATTGGTAAAAAATACCTGTACAACGAAAACAGACTGAAATAAATTCATTTCGATTGCTTTTACAGTATTAGTGTCATCTGTGAACTTCTTGATCTATGGTGGGTAAACTAAATCACTTTTGTTTTTAAACCTGAAAATATCATAAGGAATATTCTGGGTTAAATCTGTTGTTAAAGGAACATTTCACCTGGAAAATAAAATTCTATCATCATTTATTCAGCCTCATGTCTTTCTAAACTTGTACGGCTTTCTTTTTACTGGGAAATACAAAAGAAGATATTATGAAGAATGTTTCAGATGTTCGTGTTATTAAAGTCAGTGGGAGTCAAAACTTTCATGCTCCAAATGACGATCAAAATTTTATTGCATGATATGATTAATTTTATTTTATGGAACGTATAGTTATCATAATATAATCATTTTTGACATTTTGTTTTATTTTTGTTATTGAACATAAGAATAAAGAAGCAAATTACAAACAATTGGCTAAATACAGTAAATGAGATAAACAGTACTTTTTAGATAGGTCTTTCTAACAGTAGTATACTATTCAATTACAAAACACTACAGAAATTGAATCGTCTAATGTAAAAATAAAACTGCACAGTCTTCACTGTATGAATTAAATATACATTGATCCTTATGGAAGCTACTTATGTTATTCACAGTGTGTGATTTTCTCTCTTTTTAATATTATTAGATTAAAACAGGAACTAAAACCGAGTGTTTCAGGCAGAGAGTACAACGAGCTGCTGCAGAGATGTACAGTATGAGAAAAAGATGGGGTTTTTTAAACTCGTGTAAATATATTCTAATCCCCCAAAAATTATGAACTTGTAAATGAGCATACTACGGCAACTTATATACTGCAGTAGTTACATATTAGGCTGCTGCCACTTTAGGACCTAATGCACTGATACAAAGTCATTGTGTTATTTCAGAAAAAATAATGTACCAGTCTAGTAATATCGATTAATTTTACGCTACCTTTATGTCCTTTTTGGAGCTTGAAAGTTAATATGGACAAAAAAGCTGAAATTCTTAAAAAATATTATTTTCTACTCTACAGAAGAAAGTAAATCATATATATATATATATATATATACCCCACAGTATCTGTCCTCGTTGAAGATCTGAGGAGGTAAAGGGTTCCCTGTTGCCGGTCGGAAATCCTCGGGGACGTGTTCTCGCATCCACTTCCTGTTGTCTTCATCAGCTGCGATGTCACATTCCTCAAACTCAATCTTATTGGCTGCCAAGAAGCCCATGACATCCTGCTGCTGTTTCTTGATCTGAGGGAAACAGAAGATTAAATCGCACATTAAAATCAATGGACACTAATTCTGATGCCCTCAAACAGAGGACATTTAATGTGTGAAAGCATTATTATTTACAGTGGACTTCACATGTATCAGGTTTTGTGAGTATTAGTTTTTTGTTGAGTTACAGCCTTTTCGGAAAAATAAGGATATAACCATAGTGTTCTGGGAAAGGCTTCAAGTAAAGTGTTACCAACATTTTTTTATTATGAATCTCAAATACAGACACTGCTGGCAAGGGTTCAAATATGCAGAAGATGTTGAAAAAGAGGAGTCGAGAAGCGTTTCAACCCACTCAAAGGCAGTTCAGATTTGTGGCATAAGGGACACAATGTCTCTGTTCCCTCCACCAGGGAACGAGGGTTACCATACGCAACCGAGACGTTCCCTTTCTGTCGTTCACTTCGTTGTTGTGTCGAGTGTATAACACTGGGGGTCCCTATACTAAACGCCACAGCTGCTGAACTGCGTTATGAGACCACAGGGGAACAGATGTTGACAAGCCAACATGTCATGACCAAATGCACCTCTCCTCCTCGTAATTTTCCAACGCCAAAGACTTAAGACCTCATTCTCCAACATTCGCTGGCGGAGAGGTCTTGGAGATCCCCCACCCTCTTGATAGAAGTGAGTGCAGTCAGAAAGGCCGTCTTCATGCCACCTACAGTGTTGTGGTTTGCCACAATAGCGGTCACTTACACCTTAAGGGTAGAGGCAGATAGGTGCCTGTCCAGACCCTCTCGGAGGAAAGATAGAACAGATCCGATGCCACATTTTCACTTTCAATTCCTCCTGGTCACGTCCAGGGACCAGACATGGAGGTTCCAGAGATCCGGGTGCGGGTGCCAGACAGGTCCCTCCTCAGGGGAATCTTCCAGGGAGGAGCTGATGCCAGTAGCACGAGCTCCGAGATCCAAGTCTTGTTGGGCCAATATGGTGCCACAAGCAATAGTTGGTCCTTGTCTTCCCTGACTTTGCACAGTGTCTGTGAAATGAGGTTCACTGGGGGAAACGCATATTTGCGTAGGCCCAGGGGCCAGCTGTGAGCCAGTGCAGGGGAGCCTCGGTCAGGGAATAACACAACTGGCAGTGAGTGGACTTTAGCGAGGCAAACAGATCTACCTGTGCCTGGCCGAATCGACTCCAAATCAGCTGGACCGTCTGGGATGAAGCCACCCCTCGCCTAGGAGCGAGATCTGTCGTTAAAGGGAGTCCGTCTACACAATTGAGGTCGCCCAGGATGTGAGAGGCATGCAGAGACTTGAGTCTGTGCTGGCTCCAAAGTAAGAGATGGTGGGCGAGTTGTGACATGCGATGTGAGCAAACACCGCCCTGGTGGTTGATGTACGCAACCATCGCTGTGTTGTCCATACGGACTAACACGTGCTTGCCTTGGATCAATGGTCAAAACCTCCTCAAGGCCAAAAGCACCGTCAACAACTCCAGGCAATTGATATGCCAGTGCAGCCAAGGGCCCGTCCAGACACCGGAGGCTGCATGCCCATTGCATACAGTGCCCCAGCCTGTCTTGGAAGCATCTGTTGTAACAACTATGCATCTGGACACCTGTTCTAGGGGCACCTCAGCCCGTAGAAATGAGATGTCCTTCCAAGAGCTGAAAGTTCGGCAACACTCTGGCCACACATTCTTTTTTCCCAGTTGACCCGAAGTCCCAGTTGGGCTACGTGGTCTAGGACCATGTCCCTGTGAGCGCAAACCAATTCTCACGAGTGAGTTAGAATAAGCCTGTCGTCGAGGTAATTGAGAATGCGAATGCCCACTTCCCTGAGAGGGGCAAGGGCCGCCTCCGTAACTTTCGTGAAGATGCGAGGAGACAGGGACAGCCCGAAGGGAAGAACCTTGTACCAGACATGTCCACAAGTCTTTAATCTGAAGTCCGAGTCAAGTCTGAAGTCTTTAAGCTTGAGTCTGAAATCAAGTCTCGAGTCTTTAAGCTGGAGTCAGAGTCAAGTCTGGAGTCATTTCATTAATTGTAGAAAATAAATTGTCATCCTTAAAAATCCTATTTACAAGGTTATATTTTAAATAAAAAATATATGTTCAAGGGATACTCCTAAGATTCTAGCTTAACTTCCTCTGCCTGTATACATAGAGTCAATCCCAGATTAAAAATAAACAAAAATACATAAATACAGGTAAAATTATTCATTTGAGGAGGCCCGTTCATATTCAAAATCTGACCCGTGACCTTTTAGAAAAGAACGCGAGCACAACGTGCCTATGGTAATGTCCTCGCAAGTGGAACATGAACCATCTACGAGGGCTGTTTCAGCATTAGCGCAGCCCAAACACTGAACACAGCACTCGTGCCGGTCATTAGGAGAGATGTAAAACCCGCAACCAGAAGGGCACAAACGGAAAGGCATGTTTGCGGACACACACAGTTCCCCCCGTGAAGCTATTTTAGAGAATTTACTGTTTTATGAGGAAATTTGCTCTTAAAGATCGCCATTGAAGCACCCAGGGGTACTCTCACAACACTTAGCTGTGTATGAGAAGGGAGAGAACGCTGCCTGTGCTGTAGATCCAATGACGAGGAGATCAAGAGGTGAATGAGTGCTGCTTCTCACAGAGAAACGATGCATTTGGCTCCAAAAAACAGAACGAGTGAGCAAATGCTGCACTGCCTATTTATACCCGGATGTCCGGGGTGTGGCCAGCAATGCAAATTTTGCTCGCCAATTTCATTGGCCTTTTCTCAATGATGTCAGAGGTGTTTGGGCTCCAGAGAGCAACCCCTAGTGTCGTACACTTGACACAACGTCGAAGTGAATGACAGAAAGGGAACAACACAATTTTTTCTTTTTAAAATTTACCACTTTGTTTATTTAAACGGGGAGTCATCTCAATTATCACCAGTAAAGTATGGAGTGCCACAAGGATCTGTCCAAATACGGGATTAGTTTTCACTGTTATGCTCAACTATATATCTCAACAAGACCAGATGAAACTTCTAAATTATCTAAGCTAACAGAGTGTGTTAAAAATGTAAAAGATTGGATGACCAGTAATTTTCTCCTATTAAATTCTGATAAGATAAGAGATATTACTTATTGGACCAAAAGACAGACAGTACACAGAATCTCTTGGATTATAATTTGCAACTAGACGGATGTACTGTTACTTCCTCTACAGTCAAAAATCTGGGTGTTATATTAGATAGCAACTTGTCTTTTGAAAATCATATTTCCCATGTTACAAAAACAGCATTCTTCCATCTTAGAAACATTGCCAAGTTACGAAACATGTTACTTGTTTCTGATGCAGAAAAGCTAGTTCATGCATTGATTACCTCTAGACTGGACTATTGTAATGCGCTGCTAGCTGGTTGTCCTGCATCTTCAATAAACAAGCTACAGGTAGTCCAAAATGCAGCGGCTAGAGTCCTTACCAGGTCAAGAAAATATGATCATATTACCCCAATTTTACAGTCTCTGCACTGGCTACCTATTAAGTTCTGTATCAGTTACAAAATATTATTACTTGCCTATAAGGCCCTTAATGGGTTAGCTCCTGCGTACCTAACTAGTCTTCTACCTCGCTACAATCCATCACGCTCCCTAAGGTCGCAAAACTCTGGACTTTTGGTAGTACCTAGAATAGCAAAGTCCACTAAAGGAGGTAGAGAGAGGAATAGCCTTCCTGATAATGTTCGGAGTTCAGACACACACTCTCTGTTTAAATCTAGATTAAAGACACATCTCTTTGGCCAAGCATTCAAATAATGCATCTCATAATCTTGTACTGCAGTTATATCTGATCAAATGCACATTATTATTCTTTAGTTTGGGTTAAACAAATTAATTTTACTTGGTTGGAACAGCAGCTACGCTAATTATGTCCCTATTTGTTTCTCTGTTTTTGCCACAGGATTGACATCCCGTGGTAACTAGGATTTACACAAGCTTCAGTCTGGATCCAGAACACCTGAGAAGAGATGATGCCAACCCCTCAGAGGACCTCAGATGATGCCAACCCTGAAACAACATACAGAACTACCACATTTTGCTATAAGTTTGATTGCATCATATAATAATTGCTGTTAATAGTGTTCATCGTCTGTTTGATTACGTCTTTAATTGATTTTTCCGTACATTTCTGCCATATGTACATTAACTGACAGTCACCACTGATAAGCTACCACTAAATATTGTAGAAACTTAATTTTCTGTAAATTTTTGTTTCGGTCCATATAGAGAGAGAGATCACGTCAATTTAAAAAGAAAAAAAGAAAAAAAGTTTGAAAACCAATTTTGCCAATAATTTGCCAAACAGTATCAAACAGTATGACACCAAACAGTCTATAAAGCACTCATTTTTCTAAAGAAACGCTTTCTGACAGCAAACACCTATGGAGATTAAGGGGGAGGCAGTCTCATCATTGAGTTCTTATAGAGCCTATGTGACAGGACCCTCAACTCTGGCCCTCAAGATCCATATTCCTTTAGAGTTCAGCTTCAACCCTGATTCAACACACCTGTCTGTGACTGTCTAGTGATCCTGAACACCTTGATCAGCTCGTTCAGCTGTCCCAAGGTGTGGTGTGACTTTGATGGCTGGTAATTGCGCATAACTATGCAAAAAGAGGCAGTGTCTCGATTACAGTATGATTTGCTTATTACGATTTTTATGCTCCACAAATCAGCCTGAATGGGTCAGTTTGGTGGAAATAGAAGGACTAATTAGAAATTCAAACAATTTCACTAGAAATTCAAGTCCATATGTTTCCCAACCCTGTTTTTGGAACCACATGGGCATATTTTATATCTCACATTTTATGTCTCCATTATCAGACCAATCCATTTTAGGACTAGTGTCTCTACTCATAGACAGAGTAGCACCATATTTAATTTTTGTCAGGAATGAAAACGAGGCTGTGAGGGACTGAAGTACAGTGCGTTCAATAGACTGTACTGTTGTTTAACAACATACTGATTGTTCAGCTGATGAAACATCTCGGAAACATTGGTTGCTTGTTCATCATGTAACACGTAAACTGTGTCAACATAGAAAGAAATCTGAAGATTTATTTGCAATGGACTAAAAAAAAAAAAAAGAGCAAGGACTTTTCCTTCTCATTTCAGAAGAAAACCACTTGCCACTGGTGGCTGAAGTATGGACAAGTCAGGAGCATCATTCCAATGTTACATAACTTACAGTATGTGGAGCACAATGGTATTTTCTAACTCAGTGGTTCCCAACCCTGGTCCTGGAGGCACCCCAACACTGCACATTTTGCATGTCTCCTTTCTCTGACACACCAATTTCAGGTCTTGGAGTCTCTACTAATGAGCTGATGATCTGAATCAGGTGTGTTTGATTAAGGAGACATGCAAAACATGCAGTGTTGGGGTGCCTCCAGGACCAGGGTTGGGAACCACTGCTCTAACTCACCAAATTAGGAAGAGTTCGAGCCAAATGAGCTGCTGGAGGAAGAGCTCCCTCTAGATACACACCTAAATACTGCCATTTAACTTTTCAACAGTTAGGATGCAAATAAAACATACTCAGCTAAACTGGAATGGCCATTCTGAGTCCGTTCTCATGCATTTCCTAGTCCAGTTAAATGCACCTAATGGTTTTTTTCTTTTTTTGGAGAAATCTTGAACAGAAGTGATTATTTCCAGTCAGAGAAAGTGGTTACATTACCGGTCAACTTCAACACCATATTTAGAGTTTGCAGTGACTGTGTTTTTCTCTGTGAAATTTGCATGAGAACAAAAGACTACTGTAGTCTCTAGCAGTAGTGCTGGCATTGCATTTGTTAATAAATGTTTTCAAATTACCTATAATAAAAACACAACCAAGCATTTCCGTGATTACCATAATTTCCGCCAAAATGTCACAGTATTTAGTGTCACAGTTATTGTTGTTACTACACTAAAGCTCTGGTCATTTGATATGCGTCAGCAAAGACATCATAGAAATAATTAAAATGACAATAATTGCAGACTCTTCTTGCACTGTTTGTTGTTGTATTTTGTCGTGTTCCTAAGGATGTCTGGTTCCAGTCGCACGTGAGGCTCAGATCATCTGAAGTGCTTACCGATGTCGATCCGGAGGATGTCGCGATGTAAACTTTAATCACCATAGTGTCAGGTTCCTCGGGTGTCACAGAGCAGCAAACAGCGATCAAACTCTTGTTTTGGCCCGTCTCTCGGTCTCTCTCTCCTCATTCCCCGCCTCTGCCGAACTCTTCCTGTTCATCAGAAACAGCCGAGCTGAGAATCAAAGACGAGCTTTTGATGAAACAGGACTGACTGCTCTGACATGCGCAGCTCTCTCAAAACAACTTATAGCAATAACTTACTGCGCTAGATATGAGTTTAACCGCGTGATTCTCAGTGTGATTAAGATCGCTCGATCACTCTGTGATATGTGGGTGTTGTCATGATGAACACTTTTCCTTGATACTGAAGTTTTAGTTGAAAATGCGCACTTTTCTGTGACACATGTGTGTGTGTGTGTGTGTGAATGGTTTCCAGCAAATAAATGTCACAAAATGACAGAGCTGCTCTTATTTTTTGTCTTAATCATCTGCAGGCTTGCTAAACAAACAACCCCTAAAACCCGACTCGACTGCAGGGCGCCATCTTGAGTAACGTTACAGAACTCGCAGAAATAAATCACCCCGTGACTAAACGGCGCTGAAATGGCAAAAAACTCAAAGGTTTGCCGGTTGTGCCTCGTTAAAAGTATACTAATAAAGACGCACACATTAAGTTTACGAGGAGTGAATACCCTCCGTCAACATTTCTTATGGGACTGTCGACATTTTTCACAAATACCGGCTCTTCGTGCTCGGCTTTCAGTTCTCAGCGCTGATTGGTCTAACTAGGCATCAATCAGGCCTAAGCCACGCCCCTCGCCCCATCCAGTCATGCGCTGTAATGCTCCTCCGCGTTTAATACTGGTGTAGTGAGCCGAGCACATATATGCCGAGATCTCTTCTAAAGCAGCTGTTTCGCAGAATATCTTTAGGAGCCCAACATGCCTAAAAGAAAGGTACACACACACACACACACACACTCCTGTCTCCTGCATCAGGGAGGCGTTCGGAACTGAGAGTCCTATTAATGTGGTTTATTTATTCACTGCATTGCAAAGTATAGATCTGCATACATTTAACATATTTAACACTGAAATCCGCGCCGCATATTTCTTATAATCTCATATCTCGTGCATGTTTTGCGCAGTGTGTGCGATTGCGCGCGCAAATTTGTTTTGTGCTTTCCATCGCTAGATTAGTCAGCCATGCTGTGCATGAAGAAACTCATAAAATCAACCACGAAACATCCACTCCTACGAAATATGACCTGTGCAATGTTAAAGACTTCACTGATGGAGAACACACTCACATGGACAATAGCGGCGTTATTATTTTATAGTCTTTGTTCTCGTGAGCAGATGACAGCGCTCACGTGCCGACAGATGGCGCTGTCAGCTCCTCCTCTCACAGCTCACATAGGGGTTGGTTGTGCTATTAATGAGGGATGGTTGAGCTGAACTGAACTCAACTGAGTTTACTAATTTTACTCATACAGGCCACTGGGTTCCTTTATTGGTTTTATATGTGAAAGGTGAATTTATATATGTGAATATTTATATATATATATATATATATATATTAAATTAATGATGAGTGTGTCTTTGTGTGAGTGTGTCTGTGTATGTATGTGTGTGAGAGTGTGTGTCTGTGTGTGTGTGTGTGTACCTGTTTTCTATTCTGGTGGGGACTTAAACCTGAATACACACAGACTCATGGGGACTCATGTCACGGTGGGGAACTAAATTGAGTTCCCCACGGCTAAACAAGCTAATAAATCACACAGAATGAAGTTTTTTGAAAATCTAAAAATGCAGAAAGTTTCCTGTAAGGGATAAGTTTAGGTGTAGGGAAATAGAATATACGGTCTGTACAGCAGAAAAACCATTATCCCTATGGAGAGTCCCTACAAGGATAGCAAACCAGACGTGTGTGTGTGTGTGTGTGAGAGAGAGAGTGTGTGTGCTTAAAAAAGGTTGTTAAATAGACTGGTTACAGGAATTATGTATATCTGAAATTCCCCACCAAACCTAATATAAATATATAAATCATTAATCAAAATAATAATCTTAATTTAAAAGAAATTTTACTGTAGAAAATACAGTAAATACACAATACTGGAATTTTGTATTTTAGTGCACCTAAGAGAAAAACATTTTAATTTAAAAATGTATAACGTTCATAATTTAAGTCTCTTCTGTCTTTTGTTTTATAATGTCAGTTGAACAATGTCTATATATATCAAGTATATTTTACTTCTCAGCTGTGTTTTTCATTCATAGAGACCCGCTCCTCTGAAGGCTGCACCCAAACCAAAAAAGGTAAAAACAGATACCTAACAAACCAGCAATAAAACTTTTAAATTAGAACAATGTTAGTTAGTTAGTTAGTTAGTTAGTTAGTTAATTTTATAGGCAAAGTGAGTTTGCAGCATGTTCACAGGCAAAATCACAATAGGCATATATAAGCATACACAATGTGCAATAAATAAATTGTGTGCTACAGCGTTCAAAGTACTGCTATTGAGAGTTTACACATGTGCAAATATTCTTACACATTGCTGCCAATGATTCACTTCCTCTGTAGAAAGACAAAGCATCCAATGTCAAAAAGGAGGATAAAAAGACCAAGGTGAAGGCCAAGGAGAGCTCAGAGTCTGCAGGCAGCGAGGAGAACCACTCTGAAAATTGAGAGGCCAAGACCAAAGCGGTGTGTTATAATCTCATGATTTCACATTAGACTGTCCATAGAAACACTGCAGAGTCACGGTATTTATTTTTTTATAAGCTCATTTTACTTTTCATTTTGTGTTGACTGTGTGGAATAAAATAATTGGAATGCTGTTACACTAGCATATTCTTCCTATCTTTTGACATGAAAAAATCATTATTCTTGATGATTTCTTCCTCTCAACCCATCCTCAGGTCACACAGACTCAAAGAAACGAAGGAAGCGAAGTCTGAGTAGCACTCTTGCCTCTCATCAACACTGTCGTCGCAGTTCCTCATCACTCCCAGTGTTGTGTCATTGTCAACCTCCAAGGCATATTGTTCACAGAGAAATATTTTTATTAATGGTTTTATAAGCATCAGCATGGATTTTTAGCACAAACTGAAGCTAAATGCTGAGCACCTTGTAGATTTGCAGTGATTGTTTCTGTGAGAATGCCACACTAAAGGTATTTTTAAATGCCATTTATTGTTATTGATAACTTGTTTGGTCTAGAAAAATCAGACGTCATCAAGTTCTTAAAACACGGCTGAGGGAAATTGTCTTTTTGTTTAATCATTTGTCATAGATTTTGGTGTATTATTCATAACAGGGAGGGGGAGGGGTCACAACCTGTAAGCAGAGATTTAAGAGAGCTGATATATTTCACTGTCCCTTGCAAAAAAAAAAAAAAATCTAAAGGTTAATGGCAGCTTGTTAAATGTTTTCATGCAAATTGTAATTTTTTTACCATGTGATTCTGACGTGTTGAAGTCTGCAGGTTATGATGTACACTCTCTAATGTTGCAGTGTCTGCTAATAAAGAAAATGGAATTCCTCACTTTTGCCTCTCCCTTTTTTTTTTATTAAAAAACTAAACGGCAATAAATTTGACGAGAATCACTGAAGATTCATTGATCACTGCTCACACTGGACATTCTAGTGTCACTAACCTTTACACAGAACTTTGTCATTCAAAGAGACAGACTTTGATGCTTGCATGTTTTGCACTTTTGTAACCAAGTGAGAAGTGTTAACTCAAATACATGATTTGATGGGAAATGCCCACTAGGGGGAGTTGTATCATGTTGGGGAATAGACATGTAGGAGAGAGAAAGTTTTGTATGCCATGCTTGAGTAAAAGACTTATGCATCATCTGTGGTGATCTCTGCTGAGATTGACTACACAACAAACTGGTGATGATCATGGCAGTTCATCTTCCTCATTCATACTTACAATGTCCTTGTGAACCTACAGTTCTGTTTGGAACATGGACACAAATGACTGAAAACAAACTTGGAAATTCATGGAGAGGAGGAAGGCATGCTACGTTACTTAAAACAGAAGCACTGAGGGCATGCGTCTGCACGTACGGGAGCAAAGGCATGACGACGATAACAGAGAACAGAATTGGGTCAAGTATCGATCCTTGTGGGACACCACGCATCAGCATAGCGGAGCTTGAGGAGCGTTCTCCAAACTTCACAGAGAAGCTTCGTTCTTTAAAATAAGATTTAAACCAGTTTAGAGTATTTCATCTCATACCAACACACTTCTCAAATAGAGTAATACGAATGTTATGGTTCCCTTTCAAGGGAACTTCGAACTGCGTCCTCTAGGGGTCGCTATGGGGAACGCCTCGTCGTGACCCGTGTCTGAAGCATACATTGAAAAAACACCAACAACACGTTGGCCGGCGACAGCCCATGACGTCACTACCGGTGCGACTATAGTATAAATAGGCTTCGAACGCAAGCTTCAGATGAAGAAGTGAATGATGTGTGCTCCCGGCGCCTATTTATACTATAGTCGCACCGGTAGTGACGTCATGGGCTGTCGCCGGCCAACGTGTTGTTGGTGTTTTTTCAATGTATGCTTCAGACACGGGTCACGACGAGGCGTTCCCCATAGCGACCCCTAGAGGACGCAGTGTCTCGTTCCCTACTCAGGGAACCATGGTTACATAAGTAACCTGAGACGTTCACTGTGTCCGAAAGCTAATCTAAAAAGAACAAGAACTACGGGGTAACCAGTGCCAGTAGTCAAGAACACATAATTTAAAAATTTTACCAACTCAGTCTCTGTAGAACGAATGATATTTTCTAAATCTAGAATACAATACTTCAAATGTTATCCAATAAACTTTGACGAAGGCTGGAGCTGGAGACTGACAGACCCGAAGCAAATCAGCTCCACAGGTGGAAAGGTGGCACCCTCACACTCCACTGTGTAATCCTCCGTGGCAGGCTTCGTTGCCGGCTCCCACACCTGGTCAGACGTCGAATGAGACTCTGGCTCCAGGGAAATACTCAGCTCTGTCGAGGTATTGACGTTCAAGACCCAACAACAATGAACAGAAAGGGAGCCACTTAAATACACAGACCAAACTAGACACACCTGGACAGAATGACACAATCAGACACAAACGGGGAAACTAGATCAGGGGAATAAACTAGGCGGGAAAGAAGGGAAACACAGAAACAAGGTGCATATTGTGACACCTACAGAGTGCTTAAAGTGGCAACAGTTTCCTGAAGGGGAAAAAAAAAATTTAAACCCAACCCTTTGAAATTTATATTACCTTAACCAACGTCCAAGGTCCACTGTGATAAGAACACCTCACATGACGTAAATAAAAAAACGTCTTATATTACCTTCAAGAAGGCATCTGATTACTTTTGATGGCAACAGAGTAATGCCAAAACACAGGCGTGTTTACCTGGTGCAATGAAAGCGAACCTGAAGCTTAGAGCAGTACATGGACGTTCATGTATCTGGTTGTCGGTGTTAGTTTTCCAGTACTGCTTCCAACTAAGTGCTTCCTTGATTTACTGGACTGCTTATGTTGAAGTCAGATACTTTGACAGCGTATCTAATGAAACTGTGGGCAGTATATGTGAGTGTGGCATGTTTGGAGCAGACTCACCCTTGGATTCAGCTTCTGGGCTGCTAGTGCTTCCAAATTCAGATCCTCTGGCATGCTCGAGGAACACTACTTTCACCGCGAAACACCAGCCATGGATTGCCCTGATAAAAAGAGGGAACTGTACATATTCACAGAAGATACGAGCTGCTCAGCGAGAAGGAGCCTCGGCAGTTGTTATTTACAACATAGATGGGACGGGCAATAACACTGACCTGATGGCCCATTCAGGTATGAGAGTTTCTCTAACTGATAATCCAAGACAAGTCAGTTTGTTTCAAAGTAGCTTCACAGAAAATTGTGCTGTAGTGTCTTACAGCATGAGGAAACAACTATATAAGATGTTTATGCGGTGGAGAAAAACATGCTATTATATAACTGACATCATCCTTGAGTAAATTGTATTTTCTAAAGAATCAAATGCATCCTTAGGCATTTTGTAAAATGCTTTAATAGATATAAAATACATCAAATTACATAATTTCCATACAGTAAGAAAGCATTGAAATCTCAAATGTATGACAGTCAAGAGGTTGAAAAACAATACAAAATAAGAAAAATGTTATAAACTGGCCATTATGCCAGTGATCTAAACAAGGTTGTTGATGTTAATGCTGCTATTAGCTTGCTTTATTGATAGGATTAAAAATTGAGCAATAACAAAAGTTATTGCTTTAAATTACAGCTTGCTCTTACTCCCAAGGCATCAAAAACTGAAGCACGGTCAAGTGCCTTGCGTGTGAGTATCAGGCTGTGAAGACATCGCTATATCAGTGAACTGGGAAATTCCTTTTTTTAATAGACCTTAATCAGGTTAGATTCCATATTGCATTTAACGTGGATGAAAACGAGCCTGTGAGGGACAGACTTACAGACTTTACAATGGCACGCACTGAATAAAGGTCATTTTCACAACAACTTTCAAAACTGTTTTATGAAGGTTTTTTTTTTCTTCTTTTGACGTTTTGTCAACTGAACAGTCGGTATGTTGTTAAACTATAGCACAATCCATTGAACGCACTGTACTTCTGTACCTCACAGCCTCGTTTTCATTCCTGTCAAAAATTAAACAACGCCTTACCCTATTACGCCTATTGCTTGCCTTGTGTGTTTCTTATCTTTATAACTGGCTAATAAATATATGTCTAAAATTAGAGATTTATATCTTTATACTTTCATAAACATTTTTGACCACTACCTTAAACCTGACCATTTCTCAACAACAGATAAAAGTGCAGTCACAGTAATGTATTATTGTGTCACGATCCCTGCCTGTGTTTTCTGTGTCTGTGTCATGGACTCTTATTTTGTAGTTCTGTTTCTTTTGTTGCTTGTTCACCTCCTGTTTTTCCACGGTTACTCATTAGTTCATTGGTTCTGCTCTGCTTATGTAGTTGCTCTTGTGTTATGTCAGTTGTTTGATGTTATGGTTCACGTGGTTCGTGCCCCCAGTGTCTGTGTTTGCAGTATTGCTTCAGTCAATAAATTCCTGCATTTAGATCCTCATCCCTGCTTGCATCGTCAGCGAGCGTGATATATTTCAGATATCTGTACGTTTTAGACAGACAGAGTTCAGACCTCTGTAATTATGATATGTTGTTACGTGATCTGAATCAGATCATTCCAGCACAACTTGCCAAAAATAAATGAACTGAGAATATATATATAGATATATTTCAAAATTATTACAATGGTTATTACAAAAACATTTATGCACAAAGAATCCAACAACATGCATGAACTTGATATTAGAGTCTTCTACATGTGCTGTTGATCTTAGAAGCAGTGGTCATGGTTAACATTGCAGTGTTTTATTTCTACAGGTGCCGATGACATAGCTGCCATCATGGTTGGCAATATTCTAGGCAAAGAAATGGCTAACCTGGTTAAGAATGGCTCAGATGTGTACGTGGAGATCGTAGTGGCCAATCCTCACGGCCTGTGGTACAGCTCTACATGGGTATACGCGCTGTCCTTCACCTTCATTGGGATATCAACCATCACTATGTTCGTCTTCGCTTTCCTGTTCATCAAACGAATGTACAGAAACCAGCAGCTCCGTATGCAAGAGGTACAATGTCCAGCCACTCTGAGTCGAGCTCAGAGTCAAATATACTTCAGAGATCTTTATTTTCAATGCTCGTTCTGTTGTGTCATCCGTTTCTGTGCAGAGGGAGATGAAGAGAGAGAATGAAAAAGCAATAGCCAAGTTAGAAGTGCGGACTCTGCGGACGGGCGACCCGGTACTGAGTCCGATTGCTGAAGCAGGAATAAACGACTGTGTTCAGTAATTGTGTATTTGAGTTTATGTCTGTGTGTTTGTAGGAGGTTGAATCGGAGGAGGTGAGCTGTGTCGTGTGCACCGACCCATTCAAACACAACGAACAGGTCACAGTTTTACCCTGCAGGTGCAGTGTGAGGATTTTACCCCAACATCACACACATTTCATAACATCAGCATCAGTCTAGCAATGGCATTTCCATGCATTTGGACGGTTTTAATATTGTAATTTGCTTT